AGAGAAGTGAAAGTTACGCAATCTTATGTAGTTGCCATTGCCTCGATAATTTGTTGTGCTTTGCTGGAGAATCATATAGCAACAGATTCTTTTTAAAGTTGAAAAAATGAGCAGCTCACTTAATGATAAAATTGATCAGAGTAGCACTGAGACAGGGAGTCTTTGAATGCGAATAGCAAATGCATATTAATGATACAAACTGATCCATTCACAGGACCATCGCAATAATTGCAGCACGCAGGCGAACGTGATAACTTCTTCAAGGATGCTGATGTTCTTCAACCTTCAGCAGATAAAGTGACCAAGTCGCGCGTCTACCAACGCTTGGCGCCGCCGACAGTTACCAATTGAGCAAGAGCAACATAGATCTTACAAGCATTCACGTAACAGGTGCCAGATTAAATTTGATCGTATTTATATTCACTTCTTTGAAAGGCAGTCAATTCAAATGAAGTCAACTTTATGCTCGGGATCAATAAAATAGTTGATACTAGAGGATTACTTAATTTATTTTTGAAAAAGATGACAAATGTCTGGCATGGAGATTTAATCAATTGATTTTCGATTTCAATAGATGTTATCGGTCGTCATACAAAAGACACTACAAGATGTCAGAAGTCGTTCGCGTTCAGACGAAATAAAAGAAATTCGAGGCACGAATGCCCACTATCGGCCCAAGAGCACAATTGTAGATAGAAGCTCTTACGAAAAACGTGATGGGTAAAATTGTACAGGTAGTGTGCAGGAGTTAGCGATAGGCGGCAATGAGAACAGTGATGTCATATCGTCTCCTCCAGAACGCACGGTTGATATCAATAGATAACACCAATTACAGCTCTTATCTCACACTTGTTCTCTCAATACTGCTGGTACGTATGGACAGCCAAGCACTTTATGTAAATGCAACATTCTCATATTTCTACAACATTTTGAACTGGTGATAACGATTAAAACAAATTTGTTATACATTTTTCAATAAATGAAAGAATTTCTAACAATTTTGTTAGTACATTTAAATAAATAATTCGGGTTCCAGCGGCTCAACCATGAATAACAAGGTCTACTGCTTAAAATACCACATTTTCTGAATTATTATTCAGTCAAAAAAGCAAACAATTTGGATTGAGACAGCAGTAATGTCATGCCATTCAAAAACCTCAGAGTATCAAGGTTTACAGCAAGCATTAATTAACCATACGGCATTACAATTTCAAATTTGACCATAAATTCACTGGTAATTATATTAAATTCAACGTTAACATAAAATTCCCACGACCATAAATGTTTGTCGCAATATATATCATGAATTCGATAGAAGCTCAAGGTCAGTAATACTACCAAAATGAGAAGATCAGAAAAGACAAACAAATCGTAGTGAAAGAGCGGCTAGAGTCGCCATATGTCTGCGGGTGTAAAGAGGGTGCGAGTAAAGAGAGACAGCGCGCAGACGACGCCGGCAAGAGAACTAAAGAATGAGAGAGCAACGAATAAAAAAAAGGAAGAGAGAAGCAGGAGGGAGGGCGAGAGGGGGCGCTAGCTGCTCACGTGGCATGTTAGTTCGCCGGCCGGTGCGCACAGTATGACTGTTCCTGTTGCGATTCTGCCAGCTTCACCGTACGTACGTACATGCCGGTCACTGAGCAAGCCCAGGGACGAAATCGCTTAGGCTATACGTAAATGAGCTGGTAATTCTACATTAATTAGTGATGAATAAATAGGACAATTCCATCTTTATTTAACTCGACTATCAAGAGGAAAGAACCGATGCACCAATATCGAAATGATATACATGATATCGATTGTAACACATGGGTGACCATTAAAAAACAAACGAAAAACAAACTGACCAAGCAAAGCGGAGCTGAAAATACAGACTTATTGTTTTAACAAATCAATTAAATTTGACATTGATTTAGACGATGTAAATATATTATTCAGAATAGCACAGAATGCCGATAACACTCGAAAAAAAATACTATAAAAATGAAAGTGGGCAACAATGAGCTTGCAATAGTAGGACCAGTCGTTACTCTGTGAAGAATAGTACAAGAGGTGCTCCAAATGACTATCAGTAGCAGCTGGTTAGTTCTGTACCGGCACTCCCACGACACTCAACAGTTCGCCGCTGCCACTCAACGCCGTTGATAACGATAATGATACGCCCGTTTATCTATCGTAGTAGTATAGTTGTACGCTTTTCTTTTCAATGGCCTAGATGATATCCATTTACCATTATGCCAATGAATTTACTTTTCATAGTGAATTGATCGTACATACGGCTTCCGATAACGTAGAGATGAAACTAAGCTTAATGAAGAGCTGATCTCAATTGAATTCCTGCACCTGCTATAGACGGTCAAACGGATGACTGCTAGCCAAATTAATGAGTGATGCTGGCGATCCACATATTTTTACTGCTTTTTCGCATTTATGAAAAAAATGCCCTATTGTGCTCGTCATGTCCGTCTGTCTGTCCTCGACTTCACGTTTTCGTCGACGAGAAAATGCGCGCTCAATCACTCACTGCAGTGAGTACTGAGCTATATTGTTTATAGTTTACTTACACAATACCTATGGTGGACGATATAAACTTTCTGCCACCCAAACAACAGGTAAAAGATAATATTGGCGTGAATAATGCCTCAATAAAAACATAATATGCCCTTCGTTTTTAATACCTCACGTAAATGTCGTAAAAATCCTTCAAATATTATGTAAAGCATTATTGATAGAACATTAGTTCACAAATGCATGTACATCGCGAGATCACACGTACCTCAATGCAATGTTCGAGCAACAGATCGCAGTTAATCCTTATACAAGACATGGAAAAGTCGGCATAAACAACACACCAATTCGCAACAATAATTTGCAAGACTTTTACGTCACGATTCCAGCGGGCATTTAACAAGTGGCGTTCTAACCAGATGAGCAGGCCAGTCCCTTTAATAGCTTGGAGCGACGCGCGCAACATGTTGCAACTCGATCACCAGAATATTGCACCAAAAGATTCGGCGAAACGAAGCAAAGACACTTTGGCAGAGCCAACTAACTCCACAGTCAGTTTATCTAATGTTGAAACAACCGCGAGTGCTAAAATGTTTGGTAAATAATCACATGGTTTTAGAGATATTCACAAATAGATATCCAGCAATGGCGCCAGTAGCATACGGTTGGCAGCACTGTTTCCCGCGCACGACCGCTGTCGTCCTTGAGAAGTTGAGAGCAGGATAGAGGCGCGGACACGCACATACGCACGTACGGGAGCTTTGACTCTTGAATTCTTGAAAATTAAACAAGATATGCAACGAATTTTGGCTTGTTTTTACGCAAAAATCTATATTGAATATCGTTTCAGTGTCTATCATATTCCATTGCTTGGAAAAAGATATTATAAGCGTAATGGAAGCAATAGTTATATTCAATGAGTAATAATTTTACTATCTTTATAGCGCCGCGTGATACGAATGCACAGCAACTGATCAGGAGATTTACAGTCCCCCAATAATGTGTCTTAACCCCCATCATCCAGGACGCTTGCGATTATACTATGTCAGAGTACCGAAAAGGTGTGTATTTACAATGCAAAGCAAAGCGAACGCAAGAATTGCACCATAGCAGTGCTCCACAACCACTAGCCTGGTGCAATGTACAGCCACCTGAGGAAGTCGTGCGTAGAATCGATGGGGAGTTGGAAGAATATTCGCGTTGTTTTCCTCCTTTTGATAATATCTAATGTATGAAGATAAGACTCGTCAGGTTTCCGTAAATTTGTATGAACCCCATGCGTTCAAACGGATCAAAGTATTAATGCAAGAATGGTGGAGTACTCAAGTCAACAAACAATGAAACTTGACGAACATCAATGAAATGGTATATGCTGAAAAAGCGTTCCTACGAATATATTAAGTGGGACCTGAGTAGGTGATGGCATACCCACAGCGAGGAGGAATTCGCCATTGAGCATATATGAAGACATTGCAATGATGTTAGCGATATCGCATGAAGCCAACGACAGAACCTCTTTACTGAGAATTTATAATCAAGTAGCAGCTCGGCTGGCCTTGTGGGCTAAAGAACTGTACCCACACAGAAATGAAATTTAACTTTCGAGATATCGTTGCTGGCCGGTTAAAAAAATATTCATGTTTGTAAGTTCCAGCTTGAATTGTATTGTACAAAATCGCAAATAAAAAGTATTCATTCCCGGCAATTTTTCTACAACGCATAAATGAGGCTGTTAAGCAGACGAAGAAGCAATAATTTCAATATAAACGATGGAATATAGTCAAGAACCAGCAAGACGCAAAACAAAACAAAGCATTGGTCTAGAAGTCAACATCCGAATCGAAGGTCGGCGGCATGAGCTGCAGCGGATTTGGCAGCTGCAGAGACTGCGTAGATCAGCTGCACTGCATAGATGCAACGAGCCACGCACACGACTAGCGTGTCCAGGAAGTGTGGAATGAACGCGCGTGTTCGAACACGATATGAACGTAGCCCGCGAATGCCGGTCACATCGAATAGTTATACATTAGACGTCAGGAAATCACTGCCGGAACTAATTCACTATCAGATGCAATGTAATATTGGGATTTGGAATTGAAATCTCCGTTTCCAAGTGTGCTAGGCCTAATTAGAATTGGAGACCGTTCGATCACGAGTGAAATTACGGAAGATTGCGTGATGTTTTATACATTGAATCGTTAGTGGCAAAATGGAATTGGCATTGATGGAGCACATGGGTACTTATGATGGTAAAAGTTGTGGATAAAGCATGAATGCGGAAACATTGTTTCATAATTTGAAAAGCAGATCAGACACGAACGTCATTCAACTTTGGCATAGAAACTAAGAGGAGTGATTAGGTAATTCCTAAACTAACAAAAATGCGCTAACATTGTGATTTAAGCAAAACATTAACACGAAAAATAAAGTCTTTAAAATGAGGATAACGACTCAGCAGTCAATCAAAAATGGTAAATGATACCGGTACTTACATTTCAAACGTTGCCAAAATTGGAGAATGATCCGGAACGCCGGTGGAATGGCCAGCTATTTTATGGCAAAAGAAGCATGCATGGAGCTGGTTAAACTTCGTCCGCGGTATCCTATGTTCCTTAGATGAAATTTGCTCACGTTTACTACGTGAACTTGAAGATGAGTCTTCCACAGTCTTTTAATATGGTGAGCCACAAAGGCCGAGAGAACCCGTCGCACCAGCTCCTCAATGCCTTATCCAGAGGAGCGTACACACTGCACGAGCGTCGAGCCTGAACTAACAAGTTTGCTACAGCAGCATCCTACCTCAACTTCCTACTGACCCAAAGGTTGGGTTTCGATCAAAAAGAGGCGTTTCTTTTCTCAGGGATGGCCCTTGGAACTTACTCCCGTGAATATTTTACAAATTTAGAGAACGTGATTCATGGAGTATCTCGACGCCATTTCCTAAACTGTATGCCAGCTTTTAAGCGAATTAAAAGTAAAAAAAAAGAAGTACCAGACTGTACGCAATAAAATATGGAAATGACATACTATAAAGAATGTAAGAAGTGGTATGTATTCCGTTTTCTATTTGTGAAACCAAATAAAATGTAGGCTCTAAAATTTTTTAAATAATTCATTAAACTGTTAAAAAGAAATTAAAAAATCAGAAACTTGTTTCACGTTATACGAAGATTAATATGAAATGCGATTGAACAGATCATTAAATTGAATACCTACTAATAATGTATACAATTAAAATCATTGGCTAATAAATTGTAAGACAAGAAGAAAGGTGCAACTTCCACAGGGAGGAGGAGCATATGATGGGAAGTGTCCGGGTCGTTCACACGTTCCAGATCAAAAACGCAAACATAGGTAACTCCTTGGTAGCTCACTATCCGGCCTTGTGAGCCTTGGGAATTGGGATAGAAGAACACAAGTTGCTGGCAATTTCTTCAACCTAGCCTACTAGTGGTCTATCCGCGAGATGGGGACCTAAAATGATTATTTTGGCATTTACTCAGTTGTATGATCTATGATCTAGTAGCGCAAACTGATGCAAATATATCTTTTCGAAAATTTATTACACTAAAAAATTTAATTTCACTTCGAAATCCAAAGCTTTCATCTATTGATTTCGTGAATAATTATCCATTTGCTGAATAAATTAAGCCTTACCTATCTTTGTGAATACGGGAAAATAGAGAATCCAACAAAATCAGTTAGATTATAGGATACAAGACATTTCTATGCAATAATCGATAGACATTTAAAAAGCTGAGAGCTTCGAGACCTACAAGATGCTTCTAAGGTAAACAATTTTAAGTAATAAAACATTGTGTTGATCTTTAGATTACCTTCAAACTTTCCATACATGCACGAGAAATTTCGTGTTCCTATGAGGCTATGAACAATGTACAGTAGGCTAGGTACGGAAATTGCCAGTGGTGCAGTTCCCTATGCTATTGGGGTTAAACCTAAAAAATGAAAAGAACAACAATAGAACACTATTAAGATAAGCGTTAATAATCTCGAGTTCACCTTGTGCGCAGGGAGTTAAGACACATACTTTCAAAATATATATAACGCAAAATATAACGACGCTATACGAAGGCGACTTCTTATCTATTGAAGTACTAGCTACTAGGCTACTAGCTAATTGAACGTTTTACCGGTTATATTCTTCTTCGTAGTCGAAGTCAGAATTCCGGGTATCAACGCTTGTCAGTTTATGGGGCCAAATTGAGCGATTTTTTTCTCGATTACGAAAATCAGATCAGACTGCAATGTTTTATCTATTTTAGGTATCAGACATTCAAATGCCGGAAAAAAAGTATTTGCGAGAGCTCATGGAAATGGCTATCTATCGATGTGACAACTATCGCTAACCTTGAAATGATCGAAAAATGCCATCAAATATATCATTCGTTCAATAGTTTGGATTGCAAATTTATCGAATTAAAAACTGTGTTTTCTCAGTTTTTTTTTATCATTTTTTATTCATTCGCTTCACTCCTGGTTCACTATAATATTGTGCGAATAAGTCGATAATTTATTCGTCTGAATTATTCCTTATCCATAAAAATGCCATGAAGAAACTTGTACGTGGATAGATAAACTAACAAACGTGTTGAAATGTATAATTAATATTTGTGGAAATATTTATATTTGGAAGATATAAAAATAAAGAAAAACACTAACTACATATAATTAATTATAAGTTGGTTTGTTACCTGTTATGCCTGGATAGCTTCAGCTAAGCTCTCTCGTAATTACTATGCATTTGGGTAATAAATAAAACCTTAAGTATAATATGTTTTCAGTATTGACGCTCACATATTTTAAGATGTATGAGTACCCGATGCCACGGTGTACCTAATTTTGAGATAGAAAAATATTTTAGTTTCAGGCAGGTGAATTCAGCGATCCTCTGCTCTGAGAAATCTTTCGAGAGCGACGACTTCAAGTCTCTATTCTGTATTTTCTCTCCGTCATTTGGTGACACCGATGCATTACATTAATTCAGTTCCAAATAAATAACTTTTTCTTAACAAAAGTTCACAGTGTTGCGGGAATTTCTGTATCCATAAAACGATTTTTAAAGGTTCGTCATTTTAGAGAGCATCTTCAGTTCTGGGTAGGCAACTAACTTTGTTGGGGGAACCACCAAACCCCCATGTTCCCCTCAAAAACCCCCCAACCTAAACTATCCCTACCAACCCCCGACGATAAATCACAACAAATGAAACATAGATGAAACTGTCCAATTTATTGCAAATAGGGCAAATAAATCTGCACTACTCATTTGTTTCTGATTTTTCCACAAATCGTTTTTTATCGTTTATCTTTAAATCGTTTCTTCTCATTTCAATAGTGAAATATTTTTTCAGCCAGCCGTATGTTCCAGAAGCAAACAAGCGCAGTTTGAGATGAAGACATCAATTAAGCCTAACGCGCCTGTGACTTCAGTTGGGCGGCATGCAGCTATGCTTCACTCACTGTACATGTCAGCTCGTCATCTGTAATTTGAATGTCTTTCCTATCTTTTTGGCATCCTTTTCTTAGATAAGAAATTTTCAAACTAGAAAAAAAACGCCAAAAATTTACAGTCTGACAGTCGGTAGCGGAAATTGAATTGTAACAAAACTTCTTATATCGAAATTGAATTTGTTTTAAACGTCATCTAAGTTTAAAAAACGCAAAGTTTAAAAACGCTCATTTATTGATGTCCGCAGGGAACTGTGCTTCCAGAACAATGGTTGCTATTGTTTGTTAGACATGAATGATTTTTCGATGAATACCGAATAAATAAACATCTATGAGTTACAATAGTTTCTGCAACAATCCAGTGCACAATAATACTAAAGTGTAAATTGAAGTTTCATAATTATTTATCTAGAAACTAGCAAGTTCATACAATTATTGAACTCGGGTTTGGTCACCAAAAATGTATCGTTAAAATATTGCCAGCCTTATTGGGTATCGTAATATATTTTGCCGAACGTATCCAGACGAAGAATAAGAAGTATAACTACAAGACATAATTAAAATGTATTATCAACTTTAATAAAAATTCTAAACAGCTGATTATGCACCATTAAAATGTTCTATTATCTAGATTAATTCCATGACGGCAAACTGTGTATTGAGGTCTGAAAAATTAAATAACTTGGATTAAAACATTCATTCCGATAGCGAATCATGAAATCGCGCATCATGCAGCGTGTTTTTCTGACCAAACAATATATAGTAACGCAATCGAGAAAAATATGATAATTGATGCACTTCATACTCAATACAAGGAAAAAAATCAAAATTCCGTTTCAAAATTTAACTTTGATCACTAGTATTAGGTTTGTTATTGTGTTTAAATTTTGGTAATAATATCGGATGACCAACTCACATCCGATGGAATTTTGCTTCATTTTTCAACCGAGTGCACCCTATAATGAAAATACTCTTATATACATTGAACTAGCAGGTTAGTCTATCGTGGCCCGCGCTCAATAATCCCTGCAATTTGATAATCCCGTTATTGTGAATACCGTCATACAAACTTTCCCTAATCCCAGTTTTAACAATTAAGTTCATTTAAGGTAATTACAAAAATACCCATGCAAATCCGCATTTTACATGGAACATAGAACTCATATATGACTCTCGATTTAAAAAGAATATTTAGCGTGTTTAAAAATGGATGTATATTTAAAAATTGTTAAATGAAATTTCAATATTACTCCAAACATTTTCTCCCGTTCTTACAGTCTTAGCCTAGTCTCTCACTAAGAAGCTACCATAATGTTTGATGCTCCAGGTTTTTGGAAAAATTCACACACACACAAACTTTGGCGAATTACAAGTAATTACGTCACATGAACAATAACTAGTACTAATAAAAGAATGGAGGATATTGCAGACAACAACCCTCATAAAAGTCGGTGATCACTTTTCCAACATGTCAAAATGAACAGATTCGTGAAATCTTAGCTGTATATACTCTCAAATGTTGAACAAATAAACTGACTTCAAGATATTATGACATCTTTTAAGCAAACTCCATCAAAATCTCGCCAGAGCCCGTTTGTTTCGTAACATCCAATACGTGCAGCATACTCAAAGAACTCGTGCACAAAGTTTCAACGCATCGACGAGAATCGGATAAAACTGTCTCCAACTCGGCCACGAAAAATTATTACACTCTACAAAATAGATCTTTTCGATATTCTTATTGAACTACTTCAATAAAGTTTTCTTTTTAACAAGATTCGAGCATTACAGTGGTTCACAGCTAAGTCTTCTTCACATCAAATGCAGTGATCTACTATTGAGCCATGGTGTTGTGTTCCCTGGAACTTCTTCCCGAAATTCAAATTCGTACTGATCAGTCCCTCCCCACCTCAATAATTGCTGATCTTTGTCGATAAACTGATCGATGGTTTTCTTGTCAGCAAATCGAATTTTTTCGGCTGAACTGCTAGGAAGCCATGAGTAAATGAGCTTCCACACTGCTTGAATGATCCAGGGCATGTCGTAGAGAATAACTTTGCTGAGCATCCACGGGTGGTAGAACTTGAAAAGCTTGATCAGGTGCCGCACAAACTGGAGGTCTACGTTTTCTAGACCGGCGTCACTCAGGTCGAATACCACCGTAACTTTTTTCCCATATTCTTCTCTTTCTATTCTGTCAAGCCAGTAACTTAGAAGTCGTTTCACCTCAATAAATTCAAACATTTGTTTCTCGTACTTGCGCACCGAAAAAATTAATAGCTTACATCCTTCCCTGTCCCTATTGTGCGCGAACATCCCTCCTTCTGATAGTAGCCTACGGTCAACATCTCTAGACCTCAAATCGTTAACGCGGAATTTCTTTCTCCATCGTAAGGCTTCGATGGCAGTTTTAACAGCCAAATCTTCAGAGCCGTTCTGCAATAAGAACCTCCTGATGTATAGATCATCGTGTTCTATTCTTGCGACGTCTCTGTCGTCGAAGAAGTCGACATCGAAACTGGCGACCTCCGAAAGGATCGCCGACCGAAGGGAAGAAACGTCCGTCTCTGTAGGTCCTTCGAAAGTGGCTGAAGGACTCATGGCCGACTAGTTGCTGATTGATCTTCAGCGGCGGTTTCACAACTGATTTATTTTCCTCAATTGTCGATCAAATTATGATAGCTTAACTTATGGTATTGTTCAGATACGTTCATTCTTTAAATCATTAGGTATGAAGAACTTCTTCAACTGTTTACAGGAGCTAGAAAAGTGTTTCTAGCATGTAGAAGGAATCGAGAATCTTCATTTTCATAAAAACTTCTCACAGCTGCCGGTTTCTGTTGCCTGAAACTGAAAAATTTTTGGATTAAACATCCAATATGTGAATGGTAAACACAAGATATTAAATAAAGATCAATTCAAAGTAAAAAGACAGGTGAAATTGCGAACAAACAGGTCACATATACATACGATCCTTTTTTTCAAATGCATAGATTTGAGGTAAAGTTTAACCTGTTTCATAAATTTTACAAAACGTCACAGTTTAGTGCCTAAACGAAGAGATAATCGAAGAAAAATTAATCAAGTGGAACATTTTATTTCTTCAGGCTGAAGTACATAATGCAAGACCCCAACAATGAGGTTTTGGGGTCAGGAACTGTCGTGGCTGATACTGGAGGAGAGGGAGACGGGGAGAGTTGACACCTTGGGTGCTATCACTTTCATTCGGCCACTCTCTGCGGTCGAAGGTTGTTCCTGATTTTAAAACTATAAAATATGTCTTATTCTTCCTCTACGAAAACAAGATCTTGGTTCTACAAGTATATTAGGTCAAAAATATGAGCAGACTGTAATCTAACATTTAAATTAAAATCACACTTAAGACGTCAATGTCAAAGGTTCCAAACTTTTACTGTCGTGTGACATTCAACAAGTTTCAAAGCCCTCGTGCGTGCAGTTAAATAGATGATAACGAGATGACAGAATATTACTGAACGTTTCAATTTTAAGCGCAAATATAATGCCACCCAAGTTAGATCACACATTTTAATTTCCATAGAAAATTCTAAATTTATGTTGCATCATAGGTGAAATACTTCAAACTCAAATCACACTTTAATGCAAAGATAAGCCAGTTTATTCAAGAGTTTAGGCGAGTAGTTAGGTTGGATAATTAGCATGTATAATTAAAGTTTGACTAAAAATTTCAGGACATATTGATAACCTAACAACACTAATTGCATAGATTGACACACACAGAAAAGTTATGTTTTGTGTGCTTTGTTTCTTTAAACCCGAGGAACTTGGATATACTGCTAGGCTTTAAATTTAATGTACATCCTTTTTGAGCAACTATATATACCGTTAGAGGTAAATGCACTCTCAGTTCTGAACTGGCCTTTAGTTGAGCTGACTTGCACAATCCAATCCCCTCTCTTCTCTCTCTAATTTACTCACACGGTACAAGATAAAAACGAAAAACATCCCAAAAAGAGTAAAGAGCAAATAGTAAACTGCTACTCACACAACCAGGTACAGGATACCTAGAAATTCAAAATAAAATGTCTGACAAACGAGGCGAGGAGCCTCTTGCAACTGCAGACTGGGGTAACGCTTTCACGCAACTATAAGGTTGGTGAGCTGGAGACCTGCACCCCGATCTGCTGGTTGCCAACACTCATCGTGCTGGTAAAAAAGTGCCCTACTCTCCAGGTTACCAGGTCACTTCCTACATTCTATAAAACCATAATTCTTCGCACATTCTTGTACATGTGAATCCTACATTAGTTAACTCGAGTACTTCATCGGTCAACATCGTCTTGGTGTGAATTGTAAGATACAACGATTGAGGTATGCTATAGTATTATGCTCAAAATGCTCAATCTATATATGCCATTTTGCTCAGTGAAAAATTATTATCCGGCATATATATGTAGCTTTGGTGAATAGAAAATCTCTTTGGATTCATGACCCAGAATGAAAATAAATATGGAATAATAAGTTAGAGACTTGATGCCCACCTTTACCAGGAAACTGAATAGTTTCTATCAAAACTGTCGCTAACACCTTGCTGGCATTCAAATTCACCACTGCATTTCAGTTGTTTTAGTTTAAGTAATAGGTTTTTCGACCATCGACAAAGGACGGGTGATTCAAACATCTCATTCCCTTAATGGACCAACAGGTGCAGCGCGGGGTGCCTCCCCTTCGAATGGACATGAAAAAAGGGGTGTGAGGTCTAAGAGACCGCATTTTATTTCCCAAATATTGATCAATGATCTACAACTTCTTCTCAATGCGCTTCAAGGTGAATGTTGTTATATTTATCTACAAATGTAACCTGAAACTATTCTCACGGCAATGACATACAACTTTCGTGTGCTGATAGAACCCTCTGACTAGACAGAGATCCTGTAAATGAAGGGACTTTCATCGTTAATGGAAAATGATACGATGAGATGAGGAAGACAGGGCTGCTGCATATAAGTGGTTGTATCGATAGCGATAAACAGACGACAGCTTCTGCACCAACTTAAATTGGAATGGGGGACTCGGCACCACAAAATCAATTATGTTTTACGAGAAGGAAGCTCGGGATCAATATGGTGAGATGTTGCACTGTGATGTGCTGGGGTGACGTGATGCGTACTTTATTTGTGAAGGGGTGCAGGGTTGTCCGTCTCGACTCTATTTAAGTTTGTTTATGAGACTTTTGGGGTCAAACCAAGTAGTTTACAAAAATTACACGAAAATTCTTCAGTGAATGTCAAAAAAATATGTAGGGACATTTTCCTGTCCATCTGGGAATTAAAACTCGACGAACTAGATGCAGTTTTATAGATTAAGCGTCGAATACAAAATTAAAAATATTGAAAGAGAGAAAAATTATCCGTTGCATTTTGAATTGTTGAATCGCAACAAATGCTGGGAACAATTTAATTGGTCGTTGGAAATAATCCGTCCTCTAGCGAGACTATCGTTAACTCAATTTCGAGAGTCTGAACATTTATCAGCAAACTTATTATTATGCTTAAATTCACTGGAATTAAAATGCTACTCTCATCCGCAATAAGGGAAGGAAGAGGGTGACTCACCCCTCAGTGATTCACGGTAAAGGGTGTGTGGCCGCATCCCTGGGGGCACTCAAACAATTTTGGATGCAGAAAATATTTTTTTCCGGAATCTACCAATGCAATAGATTGTAGCTGCAATTGTGGAATATTTAGATTTTATTTGAATTGAAGAGTTAGATTTTTCTCATATTTAAACCTAGACTTAATTGTGATGCAACTCGGTTGGTCGCACACAACGTATTCCTCGAAACACGACATACTTAACTCAAATGCAATAATTTCACTTGATCCCTTTGCCTGAAACCATGTTTTTTGATAGTGCTTTCACATGCACAATTCTAAGCTCAACTCTCAAACTTAATTACCTTAGAACTATGATATTATTCACTAAATTCTTTTGTCCAAAATCATATTTTCTAGGAAGTAACTTACAAAAATAAAATATGTTTCCCGAGCGCATGTTCCAGTATCCCGAGGAAGCGGACACGAAACTAATTTTTACATACATTGTCAACAGAACATTTGAATTACTTTTTAAACGTTGAAAGCTTCAGTTTCATAAGGCTGATCATGTATATTTCTAGGTTGATTATGAGTAAGAATTTCAAAGAGATGGATTCCAGTAAAATAGGTTCAGGATGGCCCCGTACGAGGTGAGGTGTTCTCCCGATGAGTCAGCGCGAGGCATGTCATGAGTCAGATGCCAGCCGAGGGATTCACGCCACGGGCAAGCGCTGCCACACGCCTTTATTGTCTGCATGAGATTAGTTTAGTAATAAAATATTTACTGTAGTATCTATTTTAGAGTCTGTTATTGTGTTTATTAGAGTATAATCGTTCGAATATGGTAAATAATTACTAATAAATTGATTGTACAAGTGTTTAATAAATTAATTATCAAGAGCGAATGACCATCGTCGACTCAGGAATAGAACAGAGATTACTTTGCTACAATAGAAACGATCGCTTCCACTTTCCATGATTTGTAATAATGTACAAGTCCCCACCCCCCAAACGGGGTACGTCGGCAAGTTACCCATGCTCCATGCTACTCATGTATCTGCGATACATGAGTATATGTCGTTTATAAGGGGAATAATTATTAATAAGTGATACAGTATCACTTCTTGATTTTACCCTCAAACCGCAACATGTCAGACAGGATTTAGTGCGGTTCTCATAGGCCCACGAAGGTGTTTCTTTTTTTGTACAGCTTCATTTTCAGTCTATAGATATTAATTTGAATTTCAAAGAGTTCTTGGCAATTGAAAGTGTTGCTTCGGTTGACCCGTTATGTACGGGAACAATTTTTTACAGATTAATTTTATGGTTTACATGGAGACCATGGTTATTTTTCTAGTTTACACGGTCTCGGTTATTTTTATGGTTTACATGGTCTCGGTTTTGAGCTATTCTTCTCACCTCTTTAACATTCCCCATAAATTGCATCATATACATCCCCATTTCATAGCCAAAACAGTTGCCTTACTGTATGAGTATTCACTGTCCTTATTTGCATGATGACGCAATATATTAAGCGCGGCTGTGAACGTTTACTTATGCTCTAGCAACAAATTATGTAATAAATAATATCGTAAAAACCTCGGATATTTGTTCACTAAATAATTTTGTCATGTTATCCCCAAGCTTCAGTTTAAGACTACAAGAATCTCTCAAAACTGGTAAATTAAATTTATTTTGAAGCCTTATACTCTTTTCATGTTATTTTTAAGCTACACGTTCGTAATTCACTTCACTCGACTAATTTCCGTTGTCAATGCCTTTTGAACTTGACTTAACTATTTTCTACGTTGAGTTGAGAAAAAACTTTAAAAATTAAAAACAGTTATTCGCAAAGAACTTAATAACGCAAACATTTAGCAAAACGTAAATCCGTACACTTCATCCCAGTGAAACTGTCGACCGGCGGTTGAGAACACGGGCCAATATCTGCCATACTTAGCGAGAAACCCGCTAGGGGCCCGTGACCCGCAGTGGGCTCGCTGCCCCATGTTACCCTACTCTTTTCATGTTATTTTTAAGCTACATGTTCGTAATTCACCTCACTCGACTAATTTCCGTTATCAATGCCTTTTGAACTTGACTTAACTATTTTCTACGTTGAGTTGAGAAAAAACTTTTAAAAATGAGATATTTCTACTCAAAGTTCCAGGTCCCATAAAAGTTCCATGCACTCAAAGCGCTCATGGTAAATCAGGATCCCCAATTTTCGGTTACGTAGGAACCTAATTTTTGGGCTACGGAGTTCGGAGCTCAAACCATTTCAGACCCCTGGGGGTGTGAGGGGGTCACAGCACAGTTTTGGGGGAGTAATAGTGCTCATTATTCCCGTACTTTTCGAGTGTTATTTTTACGTACACCCTCAAAGATCCCTCCCCCCAATTGTAGTGAGCTCAATTCATTACAATGAGATTTGGGGGAGTTTTACTCTATATTCGTGTGTCCCCCGGCACTATTCGAGTGTTCCCTGCACTGTATATTCGAGTGTTCCCTGCACTATTTATTCGAGTGTTCCCTGCACTATATATTCGAGTGTTCCCTGCACTATTTATTCGAGTGTTCCCTGCACTATATATTCGAGTGTTCCCTGCACTATATATTGGAGTGTTCCCCGCATTATTCTAGTGTACTCTTTAAATATGAGCGTAAAATGTCGTCTCTCTCCTATCGTCATGATCACTAATTTTGGATATGCGAATTGATTCTTACATCAGAAGAAATAAATTCTCGAGTGTATATAATTTTCATGGTAAACACCGTCGACCTTGAAAATTTGATTAGTGGAAAACTTAGAATCAATTTATAATATTAATTAAATTAATTATATCACATTTTTGAATATGCTAACATTTTGAAATATTAAAAACCTATGATGCGGAGTCAGAGTAAACTCTTAAAACATATTTATTAGAATTGAATAATTTTGTGGATTGGCAGCCTAATTTAACGAATTACAAGCTCGTGTATCAAAGCAATTGTATCAAACATTTATCAATAGGCAGGTAAACAATAGGTAGAAGGCAAGTAAAGTGGCATTAACGATATCATGAAAAGATTGATGACATGTACTCATCTTTTTATATAGATATACAGCGATTGTAAATCACAAAATAAAATCTCTGAATTAAATTTCTTTTAATCACCAATTAATCTCCACAGAGGTGATTAGTGGAGATTAAATGGTCGATAAATGTTTGTTGTTTTTAATTTATACCTATCAAGAAAGATAATTTCCGAGATAAATTCGGCGTTTATTTATATTATGCCTACCTGAAAATTCTTGTAGAAAATTGACATACGACAATTGCCGTAATGGCAATTTCAGAGATAAATTGTTCAGAGATAAATTGTTCATGGCGTTCACGTAGCCATGATAATATCTCAGGTATTTGTGACTTTACTAATTGAAATGCATTGATTATTTAGTGTCGTGATGTTCACTGGGTACACATTAAGTTATTTACTAATATTCTTTCTATGCTCATAGTATTTGGAATGAGAGATAATGTACTTATTTCAGTATATTCCTTCATTGTGGTAA